CGAGAGCGGCGATCTCTGCGCTTCCTGGCCGCGCTTCTCCCTTGGGCTGGGCGAAGCGAAGAGGCGGCGGCGGCACACCGGTGTCTCTCCCGCTGGAGATTTCTGCTTTCCTCATCGAGTGACTCACCCCCTCCCTATTTTTGAGGAAGGGTGACCTCTTCTCTGGGACTGAAAAAGATATTTTTTTGAGGAGGGGGGGTGGGTGGCAGCTTCAGGGTCTGCTTCTTCTCTTCTTTCAGCTCCTTCTCCTCCCCCTCCAAGACCGAAAAGCAAACCCCACAACTGCTCCAGCATCCTCCTTCCCTTCCTCCACCTCCCTTCTCCACCTCTCCCAGTTTTGCCGTCTCCCCTCCTAATTATTTCATTATTATGCTTCCCTCTCTGGGGGGTCTCGTCCCTCTCAGATCGCTCGGAAGCCCTGGCCTCCCTTGGATGCATTTCTTAAAAATTTGGGAGCCTGGGAGTGAGTTTTCTCTGAGGTGTGTGTGAGAGGCGGCGGGGGTGTTTTCCTGCGCGAGGGGCGGGTGAAGTTCATTGCCCCCACTTTCCCGCGACCTTTCGGACCCGATTTTGACTCGGGGGGCAGGCGTTTTCGGGGGCCGGGGGACGCGGCAGAGAATGGCCGCGGGGAGGGCTCCCCAGAGCCTCCCAGTCTCTTGATCAAAGCATTCCGCTATTCTGATTTATTGCCTGCTTGGTGAGTTATTTTTTTTCCTCTAAAGGAGACCTGTGTGTTCAGCCATTACTTTGCTCGGCGCCGCTCACAGGAATCTCCGACCCTCGGTGCCGTGGGCAGCCCCGCACTTGGGCTCCTCGCCTCTCGCCCTCGCTCCCGTCCCTCGCTCCCGTCCCTCCTCCCTCTCTCCGCCCCTTCCCCCTTTTCTTTCTCCTCTCTTTCTTCCCCTCTCTCCCTTCTTTCGGCCGCCGTCTCCCCCGCGCCCTCCTCGGGGCGGAGGGAAGCCGAGAAGAGGGAGGGAGGGGTTGGTGTCAATTTTTTTGTGTGGCCGCGGCCGGAGCCTGTGGCGGGCAGGCAGCAAGCGGGGAGACCCCGGCGCGGCAGAGCCATGGATGGCCCGACGCGGGGCC